AGGCCGTGCTCCAGAGTCACTGTCCGGTTTCTAACTGTGATGAGGAAGCATGGTTACACTGGCGAATTTGAAATCATTGATGATCACAGGGCTGGAAAAATGGTTGTGGATCTTACAGGCGGGTTAAACAAGTGTGGCGTGATCAGCCCCAGGTTTGATGTGCAGCCAAGAGACCTGGAAAAATGGCAGAATAACCTGCTCCCATCCCGTCAGCTTGGTTTCGTTGTACTGACAACCTCAGCTGGCATCACGCACATGAAGAAGCGCAACGAAAACACGCAGGAGGAAAAGTCCAGGGACTCTTTTTTCTACGGACATAAAACATGCAAATAACATGCCTCAGCAGACTCTGGTGCTTAAAAAAAGAAGTGTTACAAATGTTGAAAGGAACATATTGGTAGCATACATAGTTTTACTTTTTAGTGTATTTTTACTAGTACGTATTAATTTTTAAATATATTTGACATGTATAGTATTTTCTATATACATATTCTTTGGATTTTTAAATTTATCTATTTATTTATTTATTTATTTATTTATTTATTTATTTATTTATTGGATATATACATGGTCTCACTGCGCAGTTCAGATTCATAGTGATCCTCCTGTCTCTGTCTCCACAGTGCTGGGGTTACAAGTGTGCATCACCACACTTGATTGAACTTGGGTCTTTGTGCTTGCCAGGCAGGCACTTAGACCACTAAACTGTCTCCCCAGCCCCTATATACGTATATATTGGTCTAGATACCGCCCCACTAGCCTTCCTTACAATCCTCTGTCCTCTCTGCCTTATTTTCTTCATCTTTTCTAAAAATAGTATTCTTTCTGTGGAGGACCACAGGGATGGCTCCCCCTGAAAGAAGCTAACCCTTGCCCTATTTCCATTTATTGATACGTACAGAGCTGGTAGGAAAATACTCGGTCCCCTCAATTGTCTTCTAGCAATGCACATGGGTCTAGCCTTTGAAGCAATGGTCAGGTCAGTGATGTCCCACCTATACCTCCCTACTGCTAAGCGTGACCTAGGCTAAGAGAGCACCAAGCCATTGGCTGGGTTGGCAGGGATGGCTGGGACTGAGCCTTGTCAAAAAGGCCCTGGCCTCTCAGGCCTCAGAGCTGAGGCAACTGACCAAGGTACTTCCTCAAACTGTTACACAGATTACTCCAAATTTAGAGGCTACTGCTGACTGGTCCTTTTTCTACGTGCCTTTCTCTGCCTATTGCAGAAGTGCTATTGTGCCTCCTCCCTAGGCCCATTCACAGTACTACTCATGAACTGCTCAGGATTATCCTCATAGTCATTCAATCTCAGGCCACTTCCCTTTTCACAAATAAATAAAACCTGGCTTCAGTCTTGGGCTAGCCATTATTCCGGCTGGATTTAGGACCCCTTGGCTCCCCACAACTGCAGATATGTCTGTGTCTCTTTATTCTTGCTGTGGGTTGCACTGGAAGTGGTAGATTAGAATTTAGTTACTAGAATTTTAATAACTTTTCCCTTGGATTCCAAATATAAACCCTGGGGCATAATGAGGTCTAGATGGCTCCCTATACGTTTTAGTTTTATGTCATCTTTTTTTTTTGTTTGTTTGTTTTGTTTTTGTTTAGAGTCTAGGGGGCCGGGGAGATGGCTCAGTAGAATAAGCACTTCCCTGGCAAACACAAGGGCCTGAGTTCAATCCCCGGTTCTGCGCCCCCCCCCCAAAAAAAAAGAGAGGTCTGTGTAGAGTCCATATATTAGGGAAATATGTAAAGTTGTCTTTATGAATCTGGCTTATTTTGCTTAGCATGTTCTTCAGTTCCATCATTTTCTTAAAAAATGACATCATTTCATTCTTCTTTATAACCAAATAGTATTCTGTGTTCATATATAGCACATTTTCTTTATCCTCCTGTTGCTGGGCACCTAACTGCTTTCATATTCTGGCTATTGTGAATTATACCGCACACAGTAAGCACAGATGTGAGGTACCCCTAGAGTATGCTGCTCTTAATCCCTTTGAATATATGCTATGTAGTGGTATTTCTAGCTTTAGTTTTTTTGAGCAACTTCCATACTGATTTCTATATTGGCTGTATTAATTTAAATATCTATCAACAATGTAGAAGTGAGTGAACCTTTTTCTCCTGCTCTCTCACCAGAAGAACTTGTTTTTACTTTCTTTTCTTTCTTCATTTTTGTTTTTTTGAGACAGGGTCTTGCTATATAGTCCACACTAGCCTGAAATCACTATATAGCACAGACTGGCCTCAAAATTACAATGATCTTATGGGGGCCTGGCCGTAGCTCAGGCCTTTAAGTGTCTGCTTCCACAAAGCTGTCAACCTCAGGTTGCTGGAGTTGGAACCTCACACCTCTCCAGCTGGCCAAAAGTGCCCTGAAGGCATTCGAGGAACAAAAAAAACAAAACAAAAAAAAAATTACAATGATCTTAGTCTCTAAGTGCTGGGATCAGAGGCATGCACCACCATGCCCAGCTGTTATTGTATTTTGATGTTAGCCACTATGACCAGGATGAGGTGGAATCTCGATGTAATTTTATTTGCATTTCCCTAATTGCTAAACACATAGAACACTTTTTCATATACTTGTTGTCCATTTGTATTTCTTCTCTCGGGAAGTGTCTCTTCCAATTTGTCCACTTATTGATTGGTCTATTTGAGTTTTTGGTGTTAAAGTTTTCTAGTTATTCACATATTCTTGATATTGATTCTCTCTCTAAAGAGTAACTGGCAAAGATTTCCTCCTATTCTGTGGGCTGCCTGTTCACTGTTAATTGTTTTCTTTGCTGAACAAAAGCTTTTTATTTGATGCAGTCCCATTTGTTGATTCTAGCTATTATTTCCTGTTCTATTGAATTCCTACTCAGGAAGTCTTTGCCTGTGCCCAGAACTTCAGATACTTTCTTCTGGCAGTTTCAAAATTTTAGGGCCTTTTTTTTTTTTTTTTTTTTCTTCTACAGTGTTTACAGGGTCTTACTACGTGGACTGGACTCTAGTGATCCGCCTGTTTTCAGCCTCCCAAGTGCTGGGATTACAGGTGCATGCCACCACATCCAGTCTCAGTCACTGTCTCAGCACGTCCAGGGGGCGGGGCTGGCATGGCATGTCGAGCATGGAACCTGGGCCATAGCACTCTGCCTAAGCAGGTGCTTTAGTTCACTGAGCTATCTGGCCAGCCCTTTAGGGCACTTTTGGAGAGGTATCTAATTTTCTTTCATTGCTGAGACACGATATCTGAAGCCCAAAATTAAGGAAGGAAAGGCTTATTTAGCTCACAGTTTGTAGAGGTTTCAGTCCATAGCCAGCTGGCTCTAAGTCAGGGTGGCATGGCAGAGGACAGCAGTTCTTGGTGAAAGATAACAAAAGGGAAAGCAAGACTCTTTTCCTCCCTTATATTATATACAGGCTACCTCAGGGGAAGTGTACCACTTTCTGAGCTTCTCAAGTTGACACAGTGTATCAGCCAGTAAAAGGGGTAATTTTTGAGACAGAGATATGTTGTTCAGACTGTCCTTGAGCTCACTGTGCAGTGCTGGCTGGCCTTGAATTTGCAGTGATCCTCCTGCCTCAGCCTCAGGTGCTGGGGTAATAGGCATGCACCACCACACCTGGGAAAGTTTCAGGTCTATGACCAGTTTTGAATTGATTTTTGTACAAGGTGAGAGATAAAGAAATAATTGGCTGACTTTTCTTCGATGTGTATTTTGGCCCCTGTGTCAGGGATCAGATGTGTGTAGTGCATGGGTTTGTTTTTCTGTCCTCTATTCTATTCCACTGGGCTACCATGTCTGTTTCTGTGCTAGTACCACGCTGTTTTGTTACTATTCCTTTGTAGTATATTGTAAAGCAGGAGCATATGCTGCAGACAGCATTGCTGCTTTGGCTCAGGATTGCTGTTAAGGTTTAGGTCTGAACTGTCCTCCCAAAGTCTCATACGTTGAAAGGTGATTAGATTTCTCATCAATGAGTAAGTCCATTGATTTGGTTTGTATCTAGATGTCTCCCCACAGCCTCACACAGTCATGGGGTGCTTCTAGAGTTTGTGATTAATTCTTGATCTAATGCTGGGATTAGAGGTGTGAGGGCTACACCTGCCCTTGGGCAGATGCTGCAGAAGCTGTTGCTTATCCCTTTGTTCTTTGGTGTTTTCTAATGCCATAAACAGCTGCCCTCTGCCATGTACCACTCTGCTTTGGAACCAGAGTGTGGACTGAAACCTCTACTAACTGTGAGCTAAATAAACCTTTCCTTCCTTAATTCTGGGTGCTGGGTATTTTGTCCCAGCAATGAGAGAAGAGTAACTCAGACATCCATTGATAATTTCATAGCTGAATGTAGTGTTAGGAAGTGGAGTGCAGGTGGAGAAAGAGCATCCCTGGGGGCTGCCTATGAGGGCTCCCCTGGCTCTTTCTGCCCTCTCAGCTCCTGCCAGTTGTGGGTCAAGCTGCTTTCCTCCACTCTGCCTTTTGCCATGACATTCTGCCTTGGAGCCAGCTCACTATGTATGGCCTGAGCCCTCTGAAACTGTGGGCCAAAACAAAACTCTCCTTTAAACTGTGTCAGACATTTTTTCCCAGTTATATGAAAGTTAATGCAATTGTTTTGGCTATTCTAGATCTTTTGTGTTTCTATATGAAATTTAGGATTATTTTTTCTGGCTTTATGAATAATTTAGAAGCTTGATGGAGATTGCATTGAGCATGTCAGTTGAGTTTGGTAATATTTCCATTGTAACAATATTAATTCTGACAATCCATGAATATATGAGAACTTTCCATCTTCTAGTGTCTTCTATAATTTCTTTCTTCAGTGTTCTGTAATTTTCACTGTAGAGGTTTTTCACCTCCATGGTGAGGCTGATTCCTAGGTATAATCTTTTTAAGCTATTGTGAATGGAACTGTTCATTATTTTCTTTCTCAGCTAGTTCATTATTGGTATATTAAAGTTATTAATTTTTTAAATGTTGATTTTTGTATCCTATATTTTCATTTTTTAGTTAAATTCTCTGCAAGACCTTCATCCCTTACCCAAGATAATTTTGGAATACAGGCAGGTAAGCTAACTCTTCGGTGAGGAGTTTGTGGTGAGGGGGACGTACCCAGCCCTGCCTCTGTTGATACCTCATCGCTGCTGAAGCGCCTACCAGTGCTCTAGGGATGCAGCTTCTCAGGTGACCTCGAGGTAGCCCCCCCTCCCTGTGCCCTGACCCGACCTGCAGCCTGTGGTCTGCCCTGCCCAGCACTGGAACCGGAGGTGTCATGAAAGAAAGAAGCCTGATGTGTCCCTGTTTGTGACTTCAGTGTGAGACTTTTTCCAGTATCCACAGAAGCCTCCGCCTTCCCCCTGGTTTCCAAGTACTAGGCCAGAATTTTACCTTTACCAGTACTGTTTACTGGAGGGTTAATAACACACCCTTTCTCCTCGTCTGGCACTCACCTTTTCTTAATTCACACAATTGCTTTTCACTTCTCCATTTTTTGTGTTTTGGAACCACACTGAAAACTTTGTCATCATTCAAACCACTGTCTTATTATTTACTGAGCCTGTGGCCTGCTGTCTGTGTTTGGGAACACACTAGGGCCACTTGGCCTCTTCTCCTGAAGGGTAAGAAATAGAAAGGGCCCATACAGGGTACACTGGGCTGGTCATTTATTTATGTGCTTATCTTTGTAGACTTTCTGTAAATTTAAAGTTATTGCAGAACAATAGATTTATTTTAAAAGGGAGGAGTGGCATCTCTCTGTGGGCCACTGTTATCCAATCCTGGCACCACCTAAGGCCATCTGAGGTGACCAGCAACACATTCCTGGCACTGTGCTGCTCTGGTGCTTGTTCCTGTTTAAATACTTAACAAAAGGATTATTCTTGTCTTTGTGATTTAGGTTCACAAGATCAAGTCGACCTTTATAGATGGATTACTGGCTTGCATGAAGGAGGTAACAGGCTTTAAACAAAGAAATGGTGACTAGGAATATGCTTATAAATGAGTTCAGATACACATAGAACTTGTATCATTCTAGTAAGTGATGAAATAGTTTGGTGTTCTTAGAACTGGTTCTTGAACTGTGGTTCTGGTATTATTCAGGTCTCCACACAGCGCAGGCTGGTGTTACACCTCCAGATTGCCTGTGTAGGAGGAAGCTCTGCAGCTGACCTCTTGCTTTCTTAGCTATCGTTGCATCTGTCTTCTGGAACCATTTGAGATGGATGTTATTGTTTTAGTTCATACATAAGGAGACTGTAGTCAGAGTTTTTCTGTGGCTTGTTGAAGTTACACAGCAAGTAACAGCACCTGTCAGTGACTCATGGTCCCAAACTGACTCGTCAGGTCACCTACACCCCTTCATCCCCTGCTTGTCCATACACTGGAGTTGTAAGTGACATAAAGATCTACTTGTCCTCAGGCTCCTTCCACTTGGTGAGAGGGTAAATTCCTTCTTCACTCACCCCTGATCCCACAGTAGGAATTTTTGTAACTCCAAGAACATTTCAGAGGTGGGAATTCAGGGTCTACAGTTCACTGGCCTCTACAGAAGCAGTGAGTGTTGATGTTATGGGTTAGGGGCTGAGCACAGTATGGCCATGGTTTAAACTATTTTTTTTTTTAACTGATCAAGGGATCCATTTCCTCTACATGGAATCAAACTGGAACTGTGACTGGCAGACTTTCAGCCAAGCACCCTGTAAGTTAGTGTTCTTTGTTGAATGCCAATTTCTATGCCTGTGACCAAACTTTTGCCTAGATGTGTTTGCTTCTGCAACTTCCATTTCCAAGAGGAGATCTCACACTGGTAATTGTATTTTAGTCTGTATATTCACCCCACTAGCCTGGTAGCACTTCTGTATTGTGGGAACAAGACTCTCAAGTGCTGTGTTAGTGAAAAGGATTCTTCTCCCAAAAACCCAGGGACTCCAGTACTGAAGGGAAAAAGGACCCTCTTTCCCCTCCCCCATCCTCCTTTCATATTTGTGCAGGACAGGTAACTTCTGATTTCCAGAAGTGTCTCTGGTGACCACTTCCATTTTTTTGGTTGTTGAAGACTACTTCTCATGAAAAAAGTTATAAATGCTCCTGAGTTTATAATGCACCTTTAATGCCACTTAAAATAATTACCTTTTAGATGACTTTATACTTCAGATGTTGTCTTAGTTACTCTTCTCTCGTTGCTGGGACAAATACCCGACACTCAAAATAAAGGAAGGAAAGGTTTATTTAGCTCACAGTTACCGGAGGTTTCAGTCCATACTCAGCTGGGTCCA